GCTTCCTGGTGCGTCCACGCAGAGGTGCTCACAGGTGCCTGTCCTGTGGCCACTTGTCGCATAATGGGAACAAACAAGTGTCTGTCTACTGTAGCTAACCCAACTGAATTCCAGAGGTCTCACAAAGCATGAAGTTCTACGGTTTTTGTGGCATGGTTCCTCTGTCTCTGTCACTTTCTGATTCTTAAAGTTTCTGTGCCATGCTTACATGTGTTTGATAGTTACATGTTTACAAGTATTTTAACACATGTCCACTTTGTTTTTACCAGGGGACTTGTTTGTTTATTAAGTACAGCTTTTCCAGTAGGACATCTTTTCTGATACATTGAATTCTCTGCTAATGTCCTTTCTTTCCCTACTAATGTGGTATTTTTTTCCCCACTATTATTAACCATTTCCTGTTAGAGGACTGTTTCTTTGGTGTAAGTCTCAAGAATTTTCACATAAATTAGGTGTGTACTTCAAGTTTTACATTTCCACGAGATCTAAATTTCATTATACGAACGTGCGCATTTCCAACACAGTAAGAATTCAAATGGGGACATGTGACACCCAGTGGCACATCTTGCATTCTGTCCCTTCTATCAAAATGATCGAAGCTTTACTTACTTTGTATGGTGTTGTACTGGAAACATGTAATGTACCTTTATTTCGTGTGACACCTGTCCCCAAGAGCAGTGCTCATTATCATAGCTCTGCGTAGCTTGTGAGATGTTGTGGCTCGGCAGGTCTGTGCTCTTCAGAAGCCTCCACACCTCTGTGTCTGCCATTGATTGTTGCATGTGATTACATGTTTCTATTGCTGAAGACATTTAGTGTGCTGACCAGACCTGCTTTTGCATTATTGGTGATATAATTTGGCATTGTGATTGGTATGATGTTTTATTATATTGTGTTAGTTGTTTATGTAAGTTTTCCTCTATGGTAAAAAATGAGTCAACTATATTCATACAATAAGAAGTAACAAGCGTTCATCTGTACTTTATCATGTTCAATAGTTTGGAATTTTCCCACTGTTTTTAAAATGTCTTGAGAAGAAAGAAATTTTTTGAAGTTTCTTTTAAGTGCCTCACGTCATGAAAGACAGTAGGTACTGTCAGACAGGCATCTGCAGAGTGTGCAGAGGGAAGATGGGCTGTGGCTGCTGCCTGGTCGCAGGGATGCAGCTGGAGGTAGAGCTGGTGAGTAAGTGGCTTTCTTCTGCTCCTTAAATGAAACTATAAGCCTGAAGTCTGTTGCTTGTGTGCCTGCTCCCTGCCAAGACCTTGTCCCTCTGGTTCCCTGGTGCCTCATCTCCTCAACCTCCTTCTAAACCTCCGTGCATTTTGGTTTATTGTATCACACTGTGTAATATATAGATACGTATGTATTACTTATATGCTTACTATGTACTTATATACTTAGTGTGTGTATATATACATATATGTACGTATCTGCCATCTTGCGATCAAAAGTGTAACCAAGTTTTCGTGGGCCCCTATGCACCAACTGAGACAAGTTGCAGGTAGTTGGATTCCATGCCCTTAGATGCCCTAATTGTATCATCATGGGGCCACTGCACCTGTTAAACATGCTCATTGTGTGTCAGGAGCATCTTTCAGAACTGAACTGAAACCTCTTTCGGATAAAGACTTTCTCTGACCTCCCAGGCCAGGTCAAGCTCCTGCTAAGTGCTTAACAGTCACAACGTAGTACAAGTTAATGCTGATCCTAGCTTTTGCTCGTATTTGTAAGAATGTGTAATAGAATCCATGGCTCCTGTCCTGGAATGTAATGTCCCTGAGGGCAAAGAAACCAGCCCTGGTCGTTGTCATTCCCCCGGCATGTGGCCCGGTGCTGATACACAGCCTCTGCAGAGGGAACACGATGGTCTCTGTGTCCTGTGGACACTGAAAAAGCTCTGTCATTCTGTAATTATTCTCTTCTTTGCATTATGTATTTTCTTATCAAGTATTTCATTCAGAGTATTGCTACAGTAGTATGCAAACACTCATTTACTCAGGAAATATTGACTACTCCAAAGAATAATTCTACATGACCGAGTAAATTTGTGACTCATACTTTACCTAGCTCTTTCAGTAGTAAAAGAACCTATAAGATGATTCAAAGGACAATCCAAAGATAGACAGTCTACAGGCAGGCAGAAAGACTGGAGATCCGGAGGCATACCATTGAGCTCTGTTTGTATTAAAGTAATTACAGCTCTGCTGGACCAATGCTATCTCTGTAGACAGGATGTCTTTGCTTCTCCAGAACTCTGCTCTAAACTCTAATACTGCATGGCGGGTAGCCAAGAGACCAGGAATGATGCAAGCCGTAGTATCAGAAAATCCTAGAAAAAAATTCTAGACAATACCACTATCCCTGTGAAAAGAAGTGGGTGTTGTGTGTGTGTGTGTGTATTTTTTTTTACCACATCTTTACAGTTTTCTTTAAATTCTTCCCACTTGTGATCATAATGATCTCAAAGGTTTTCCTTAGTGTCATACAAAGGCTCTCATTAGATTCTGATTATTTATGTGGAGAAAGCAAGAAAAATAACTGGATATACAAGCCTCTTTGAATCTATTTCTTTGTAAGTCCAGAGTCATGCAGCATTGAGATTCTGGCACAGATTTCAAATGTTGGATTGGGCTGTTCGATGTGCATGTGACTTCATGACTACAGCCTTCGTTCCCTGCCAGTGTGTCCTCTACATCCTTTGGATCAGGCCTGTGTTTGTCCTGTTATAGTCTGGCAAGCTGAAGACTGAAGGTAGAACAGCCCTGTGTGGTCCACAGCATAAACTGTGATAAGAAACCTCATAATCATATTGCTGCTTTCAAAGTCATTGAGAATTTCCCTGGAACTGTTGGGTACCACATAGTGTACTAGTTTCTGAAGGGATAAGAGAGAAAGCAGCAAGGCGCCTGTCTCAAATGCTGCCGATGCAGTGACAAAATTTAGATGTGATGGCATACAGACAGATCCTCTGACAGGTGTGCACACAGGGTGTCTGAGACACATGGGGTGTGGGGCATGGGAATCAATTCTTATCTAAGGGAGTATCTCCTGTAATAGAAACTCTAGAACACAAATATAAAGGATGGTGAGAAAAAAGAGAGAGCCTGAGAGGAAAGTCTGGTAATCATCTCAGCATGTAAGTGGAGCAGAGGCAAAAGACAATGTGAGCCATAGAACAAAGGGAGATGGTCTGTGTGGCCGGTAAAGGCTCCAGAGAGATTGCCTTTTTCCTTGTTGCCACTAGAATCGCTGTTGAAGGGCAGGAGGAGTAGGGATCATTCCTAGAGACAGGTCATACGTCAGGAATGTGCATTTAAGTTTACTGCTACCCTGTTGGAAGTGTTATTTCCAGCCAGCCTCTGGCCTCCAAGTTCCCACTGAATGTAACTAGGGTTCTTAGAAGAAATGCCTCGGGCCTAGCAGCTCAAGCCCTGCTTGTGTCCTGGGAAAGCAGTTGAGGATGGTCTGAAGCCTTGGGTCCCTGCACCTGTGTGGGATACCTGGAAGAAGTTCCTGGCTCCTGGCTTCGGACCGGCATAGCATTGGCCGTTGCGCTCACTTGGGGAGTGAATCATCGGACGGAAGATCTTCCTCTCTGTCTCTCCTCCTCTCTGTATATCTGACTTTCAAATAAATAAATGTTTAAAAAGAAAAAAAAGAAATCTTCAAAAAAAAAAAAGAAAAATGCCTCATTCCAGGACTAATGCAGGAAATATACAAATGAGTTGAATTATCATAATAAATATGTAAAACCAGGTGCTTACTACAGATTTCTTAAGATTGTGTCAAGGATTTGGGCGTCAGTTTTGGAGGGCCGCCATTGCCAATGACAGGATAATTTTTTAAAAGATTTATTTATTTATTTATTTATATTGGAAAGGCGGATATACAGAGAGGAAGATCCGTCCAATGGTTCACTCCCCACACGGCCACAACGGCTGGAGCTGAGACAGTCCAAAGCCAGAAGCCAGGAGCTCTTCTGGGTCTTCCACGCATGTGCACGGTCCCAAGGCTTTGGGCTGTCCTCAACTGCTTTTTCAGGCCACAGGCAGGGAGCTGGATGGGAAATGGGGCTGCCGGGATTAGAACTGGTACCCATATGGGATCCCAGCACATTCAAAGTGAGGACTTTAGCCACTAAGCTATCATGCCAGACCCAACAGGGTCATTTTAAAAAGGAAATGAGTTCACAGACTTACCCTGCCTCTGCGGTCCACATTCTATTTCTAGAAAGCCAAATGGTTAATGAAGTTCTTCAAACCGTAGATTACCAGCGCATACATACAGAAGTGTTCTAAGAAAACAGCCTTTTGCAGCCCTTCGGGAAGGCAGGGATTTAGCCAGTGGTTATCATAGGATGCTAAAACAGATGTGAAATGTTGATACTGAAGCTTTCTAAAGAAACAGATCAGCAGGAAGCTTAGTTTGCCCATCCCAGTGCTGCCCAACACCTTGCTATTCAAAGTGTGACACTCACCTTGACTTCACCTTGTTTGAAATGCAAAAATTGTGACCCAAGCCTGGATCTACCATGGAACCAAAAACTGCATTTTTACAAATCTCTGAATGATACGTTTGCATTTTAAGATGAGGAAAGTGCTGCTCTAAAATACTTGAGAGAGAGACCAGAGCAACAGCACACATGGTGCTAGTCGCTGAAACCAAGTGATGGGTGCTCATGCTGGTGGTGCTGAATTGTAGAGCAGTACAGCAAGTGTTCCTAAGTCAGGAACTGAGCGCCTGTCACTGCCCTGTGCTTGTGCTAATTCTGCATACTCATTCCTCTTATGTATTAATTGAGGAACTAGTAAATATTGAGATAAATACCGCCTGTTTCCCTGCTCATCTTCCCGTCCCTGATTTTTGAGTTACTGGATAACAATGAGGAATCTTGGAGGAATACTTCTTCTAAAAGTATCCCTTAGAAAATCATCTTGCTTTGCTACTAAAGATACTGATTTTTAGAGTGGAGATTCATTGTCAATTTCTATCTGCAGGCTCACTTAGAGAGGCCCCCCAAGACCCTCGATGGTGCTCTCTCTGATGCCAACGATGATGACATTGAGAGAGCCAGCAAGTAAGTAGTGGATTGTGGCATCCTGTGCAGTGAGTGGCGCAGGAGCACTAGTTTTGGGTTCCACAGGCTGCTTAGAACCCGTACTCATGGAGCTGCAGTGTCACTTGCCTGCTTACATTGTTCTTCCACAGAAGGAACCAGGGCTTGGCAGAATTCTGTGGGAGATGAGCCTTAGCCGGGAAAGCCAGGTAGACCAGAAAGCAGGTATGTCAGGAGAGATCTCTGGGATGATGTTAGTCTCTCACCGTGCAGCTGAACAGTGCATGGTAAGTACCAGGGACAGTGAGCATACATAGTTGAAACCAACTGAATCAGTGAAACCAACTCAATCAGGAGAATTTAGCACAGAATATTAAAAGCCAATAGACATTCCTTTTTGTCTATAAAATGTCTCTATCCCAAAAAGAGTATATATTTTTCTGTAAGAGCATAAAGAAAAGGCATGCTATATAAAAGTTCTAAAAGCGGATCTTAGCTACAGCTACCTTCCCCAGTGCACTCGCTCTCACATATTTTTAAGTCAAGTCTCCAGACATGGCAGAATTCAAAAGCAGAAGCCCATCTGCTGATTCAGACAAGTAGGTTACCACAAGCCTTCTGTTGCCAGTGGACATGTTTATAGACATTCTAGGAAGGACCTACTTACTGGCCACCTGTTGTCTTTACTGCTGCTCCTCTAATACACTCTTGATTTCCAGACTCTCTCGGGGGTCATAGAACTGGTGAGAGGCTGCTGGCACACAGTACACATGGTCATCCACCTGTCTTCTCTTCCTCCAGGTTGTCTTCCGAGGATGGTGAAGAAGCTCCAGCTTATTTTTATGAAAGTGATGATTCTGCTGACCCCAGAGAAAAGATCCCTTACTCGGGGGAAATGGACTTACTAGGCGAGATCCTTGATACCTTGAGCACTCACAGCTCAGATCAGGGAAAGCTGGCAGCTGCCAAGAGCTTGGATTTCTTTAAATCAATGGATGATATTGATTACAAACCCACTGTGAGTAGATTTTCTCATTTATGCAGTTAAATGAAGGCATCCTTGGCCTTGCTGCGGTTACCTGATCTCGCAGTCTTGGTCTAAATGGGTGGCAGAGTCTCAGGAAGACAGCAAAATGTCACCATGGGGCATTATCATTGGGAATAGCATTCCAGTCTCTGCCCACCATTTACTCTGTTCTGGTGGTTATTATCAGTAATTGAAATGCTTCTGTCAAGCAATACATTCTTAAAATCCAATTTTACAGGTGTTTTTCTCCGATTTTTAAAAATTCAGAATGTTTCCACATTTCCCCTGTATTTTCCAAGCTTTCCAAAATTTAATAACTATGCATCCAATTCATTTTCCCTGATGCTGTCACTTCAAAAGGCGACAATGTTTGTAAACAAATGGGTCTAAATTCTTCAAAAGCACAGTAGGTGCTGCGAGGAGTGGCAAGCATAGTGTGACTAAGATGTTCTCTGATTTTCTGATTTGCTTTGTGTCTGGTAAGTGACCGTCCCAAGCCCTGCAAACCAAAGCCTTGCCTTTTTCATCCCGTCGGGGTTGTCAGTGCAGCTCTTATGTTGCAGTCGCTCCGGGAGCACTTTCAGAAAGCCAACTTTGAAAGATACTAGCGTTGAGTTCAAAACAGAGCCGAACGCCTAATGTCTTTGTTTTACTGGAAGTGTTCTGAATTTGTCCTTTCTTCTCTCAGAATAAGTCCAATGCTCCCAGTGAGAACAACCTGTCCCTTCTCTGTGGGGGTTCCGGTGATCCAGCCGGGTGGCATCGGGGACAGGACGACAGCGCCCTCCATGGCAGACACCTGCCTCCCTCGCCCCGGAAGCGGATTTCCTCTAGCGGTCTGACAGAGTCTCTATTCATCTGGAAAGAGGAGAACGGTGAAAAACGCCGCAGCACCCACAGCATGCATGGCCCTGCTGCGGTGGAGAAGCCAACTCCTCCTTCAGGCTTGGACTTCCGGCCAACTCTCCCTGACGTTTCCCAAACTGACCGAGAAAAAACAGGAAAGGAAATGCTCCCCCCGGTTTCTGACGATCCCCTTGTCCCCAGCCTTGGGCGATGTCCATCTACTTCTGTTCCTTGGGAGAAAGAAGGAAAAGAAGCCAAAGAGACTTCAGAAGAACCCGGCCTGTTCCACGAAGTTGTGTCCTTCTGTCACCTGACGGCTGACATTCAGCAAGGCTACCGTGGTCCGGAGGAAAACACCAGTGGAAACAAAGCCTAAATTGCCAATCGGCAATCAGTCATTTGCATCTAAGCTTCCTTTCTGGAGATGTTTGGCAATTCTATGTAATCTGTATAGTAAGCAGAATTATTTGTAGGAATGACAACTCTTACTACTATTTAATTTTTGTGTGTGTATGTGTGTGTGTGTGTTTGGAACATATATTCCCCACCTGCTCATCTCATGGTGTAAGGCCAATCCTTCTACTGTGCTATGAAATCAGGTACTTGTTTGTGTGTGTTGCTACTATGTATTGAGCATATGATTTCCCATTATTTGGTGCTTAATGCCACTTATTGTATTTAAACTAAATATGCATACATAACCCTGTGCGTAACCTTAGATACTGTACTGTATTAATCTGGTCGGGCATGAACTGATCAAACCTAGCCTGAAGCTGATGAAACTGTTAGCCCACTAATTGCCTTAATCTTAAATCTACATTGAGCATACTTAAGTAATTTATAAAATTACCTGTGAAACTTTGAAAGATAAGTTATAACTGTTCTACAGAGCAATAATGCCTTTTTCTATTCATGGAATCAAGGTCAAAATTCACTTCTGAAAGTTAAAAAGCTTGCTCATGAAAATGTTTCATTTGCTTACGTAGGGACCCTGCAGTCATGTTTTCCAAAACCGATGAAGGTGTAAATTCCATATCTTTGACTCAGTGAAGCGTACGAAATGCTGTATTACAAGATGTTAATGACTTGTGTTTACAGATGAGATGCTCAGAAAAGGTGCACAGCCTCTCCTTTAGCCTTGTTAGTATCAGGGATCCACTGCAAAAAGGCCAACTCAACATCAACTGTCCAGACATTGCCAAAACGTTTCATATTGGTATATCCAACAATTGACTTTGTATTTTAAAAGCCACACAAAGGCCATGCTGGGGTCCCAGTGCTCCTGCATCGAGGACCTCGCTCCCCAACATCTTGCATTCGTTTTGCCCATTTGCCTCCAATGATGTGCCAGCACAGAGTCTCACGTCCCTGAGGTTTGGTTCCCTGCTATGCCACCTGTTGTTCCTGGATCTCATCTAGGGCGTATGTTCCATGAAGTCACCACCTCTACTCAGACCCTCTTGGTTTGGCAGTTTCTTTAGATTCCCCTTATTTTTGATGAACATTAGCAGTTTTGAGGAGTGCTGGTCAGGTGTGTTGTAGGGAACCCCTCTAAGAATTTGATGTTTTTGTCAAGCTAACCCTGAGGTTATGATTTTGAAATGGGACAATCACAGAAGCAGAGTACCGTTTCCATCACCTCATGTGGAGGGCATGCTTTGTGTACATGATCTGTCAGCATTGGTGTTGCCTTTGGCCACCTGCCGTGGTGGTGTTCACCAGTTCTCTCCATCCCAGCCTCCTCCTTCTCCTGTCCACTGCCTGGTGGATCACTCTGAGAAACCCACATATGTATAAGAAGTGGACATCCTCCACCCCTCCACTATGTAGCAGAGGTTGGTTTATCTACTTGAATTCAGTGGACTTCTGGAGGGGATTTGGTATCCTCCCTGACATTCACTGTTGAGTTTTGAAATTCCTTGAAAAGGAATTATGATTGCTTCATGATAAGCTGCGTTGCCAGGTTAGTGAGAATGAGAAACCCTACAGAAGTTACGGTTAGTTACATCTGGAGATGTTACGGTTAGCTCTGTTAGTATGTACAGTGTCTCTGCTCTGTCCATACCCATTCATGATGGTTTTCAAAATATTATCTCTAGAGAAAGGGTGTTTGAGAAACTATTCAAGAATGCAATAAAGTTTGCACTCTAAAACATTTATTGAAGGAATATAATTTAATTACAGTTCTATAAGATGGGATTATAAAACATTGCTTAAAATGTTTATTAAAGTTAATTATCAAAGAAGGCCATGATTTTTTAAACTGCATTCAAACTCTATAATTATTTTTAATTGGGACAATTACTTATTTGTGTATGTAGAGGAGGCATGGTCTTGGTTTCTTTTTAAGAATGGCCTTCATGTATACTGGAGGAAAAGAGTTTACTATTTATTTTTAAGCACAGAAGAAAGACCCAAGATTCCTGACACATTTTGCTTCAGCTGCTCATTTTAAAATTCCAATTTATTTAACTGAAGTATTTTAAGTTAGAAGGTTAAAACGTTACCCTGATTGGTAACCTGCCAGGTAAACAGTCCTTCATAATTTGTGAAAAGAATATTCAACAGCGTTTCCATCTAAATTTTGAAATGAACTGTTTCTTCTTTTTCTGCAACTCATAGTTTCAGGAATGAGATAACGATGAGTGTGGCAGAGACCAGACTTGGGATTTAGTCCATTAGCTTAATAACCACATCATGGCCACTGAAATCTAAGTTCTTTTTCTACACTGAGTCACCTCATAAGGTGTTTGGCTATGATACTGTGTTTTAAGGATATTTAGCTACTCCCAACCTAATTTTGTCTTAGTATGTTAGAGCAATTTGTGCCTTACTTTAACATGCAGATTTTATTAGCCTGTGCTAAAAATAAAGCAAAAACAAAAGCTCTAAGTATTGGTCTTGAAAAATCTAGATAAGTCATAACAAGTACTAGTATTTGAAAGCATTAGCCCTTTGAGTATTTAAAGGCTGCTCAACTACAAACTCAACTTCGTAGTATTATGGTGGAGCACACAGTGAAGTTAGAGCAAGTTCTGAAATAAAAGTGTTTCATCTTATTTTCTACCATGGACCATATTTTCTGGTGAAACTTTATCAAATCTTTTTAAGCTCCCCTGATGTTAGAAATCATCGTACAAAGAAGCAATACCTGGTCTCTTCTGGATTTATAGAACTAGTAAGCCTTGTTTCGTTTGTTTGTTTGTTTGTTTGTTTGTTTTTGATACAGAATCTCTAGTCCTCTTGAACTCACTGTAACTCTCTCCTTTTGTCCCTGCATTTTACAGTCACTGTAGCTCAGAGAGATGGAGCAGTTGTGGCCAAGTGAGGACCTATAGGTTCAGTAAGTAGTCATGTGTCTGTGTGGCATATTTTGATGTTTACCTGCTTTAGCATATTTTAGAAAGGTACCAGTACATAATGCTACTTTTTTAAGTTAAAATTAGAAACCCATTCACAGAGTATTTATGCAGGGAGGATCACCAGTGATGTAGGCAGGTAACTAAGTGATTTAGTCCCTTTGAAGGAATCAGTGAAAAGGTAAAGAAATTCCACGTCTGTTTACAACAACAATAATGATGACGATGATTATAGTGTACTTTGTTTGATGCAAGTTATTGGCTCAAGATTCTAATGCCAAAAAAGAAATTTTTGACACAGAACTATGCCATTTCCGATTTCATTTACTTCTTCTTGATTATTATGCTAACTGTAAGAATGCTGCTAAGACAGGTACCATTAGAGAACAGACTCAGACATTTGTAGGAGCTCAATGTCCTTGCTGAATGGATTGTCTGTCCATAGCCAGCTGACCCAGGAATCTGTGTAATAGAATTCTGCTCCTGGACAAAGTCCTTAGGCCACTTAACTCCATTTAGGAATATCTGAAGTTGTAGGTATATATTGCTCAGCATCCAATTTTAACAATACTAATCCCATCACCCTTTTGAACCATATGCTAGTGCATTGTAAGAATTCAGTGGTATCATCCTAAGGCAGGCCCCAGGAATGCTGCTGAATCTGCTGTTTGTTAAATTAGGTGGAGAAACAGATTCCTGAACAGGAGGAGAACACTGTGAACATTCTTTGAACCAGACCTGCATTCTGTATTTCTATCTATCTTAGGATCCTAAAGATTGATTTTTTTTCAGGAATGGATTTTTCTAATTGTGAGTTCCATTTTATTTGACATGAAAGACACTGAATCTGAGAGGACATTTGCAAATCAGGGTACACATTTTAGAATGTGAAATGAATTTTCAAATCTAATGTTTCCACTGAGCACTTCTTAATGTGGCATGGAACTTTTGCTACCCCTATGTCAAGCCCAGGAATGTTGTCAGTGTGTCTTTCTTAGAGCTTCTTTGTAGGTGGAATGGTTTTGAGCAAATTGGTTAACCTTATGATTTGGCCTAGAAATAGGGAATTGGGTACGTTTAGACAGGAACCTGTTTTATTTTGAAAATAATAGGATTTTGTGCAATATTTTTTCTAGTCTAAGTTAGTTCATACAAATATGCACACCTGCTTTCCCGGCAGATACCTTAAGGTCACGTTTTTCAGTATTTGTGTAATATTCTATGTAGCAATGTTGTGTTGAATTTTAGGAAAGAAAATGTATTCTTTATATTGTTGCCGGGGGAAATGTTTTTATTTAAAATAATTGTGGATATTGCGTCATGGTATCATAACGAATTGCCTCAGCAACAGTAAATATGCAATAAGAATATCCTGTACCTTAGGTGAGTGTTACTTACTGTTACCTTAAAGAAATGTGTATGGTACAAAGCGATGACTCTGTATCTGTACACTTCACATCTATCTAAGTGGCATTTTTATGATGACGACCACATCGTTGATTGTAATATCCTTCGTGATGAATCTTTGCTAAGATTTATAAAGGGCATTGCCAATACTTTTTAACTGTATGTAAATTAAGTTAATTTTTTTGTATGATGTACAGTTTGTTTAACCTTAGAGCTTCTATAGATTTCTACTTTTTATTATACTTGAATGAGGCAGAAAGCACTGTGGGAAATCTGTAGTTCTGGATGCGATATGCAAATATACCAAAAACAATAAAACAAGGTACTGAACAGAAATGTTAGTGGGATGCTCTATGTGAGAAGGCTTTGGTTTTCAAGCCATTCTAATTGTGCAATGAAGTAACTGAAAATATACAGTCTTTTATCTTAAAAGATTGCAGAGTCAGATTGCTTACTTACCTCTTGGACATGATGGAAGCTGTTAGTCTCTTCATCACTGTAGCATTTCAGTTCTCAATTGAAAGCCTTACTGAGGTCCATGAATGAATCCACCATTGGGTTGATTCTGTAATGTTTAGGACAGGACAAATTTAGAACATTGTGCACGGCGAGTGTACCACCTGCTTCATGCCACTCTCCTTCAGGTAGTGTAAATTCCACCGAATACTTTGAGAGCCACTTAACTGTCAAATACCACACAACCAGATCATTTTAAATCTGGTATGATTCAATGCTTACAGCTGTGCCTGGAACAGCAACAATTATGAGTTGCATGAATTCTGACTTAGAATGCATAATGCCCAGGAGGGTTTCAACATTGAACTTATCCAAACCTGATGTATTTTTTAACAGCTGCAGGAGCCATTTCAAAGGATCAAAAATCTCGGGCTTTTTGCTTGACATAGTATCAGCTCTCTGTGGCAACCCAGCCAGCACGGAGATCTGCTTCATTATTGTTGCATCCTGGAGTCTACAGTGTAAATTATCTCCAAAGGTGACTACTATGGGAAAGACATTGTGTATAAAGGTATTGCCTTGAGAGTTTTAAAAATATGCAAAAGATAAATATCAGATGGCTTCTACATTATTATAAGTGCCCAACAATGCAGTTATAAAATAAAATTGGTCACAATTGAACTTCTCATGGTAGTGACTTTTTTTTTTTGGTAACTGGCCAGCTCTCTTCACACCAGGAACTGCCATAAGGAAACTCCTCCCTCCATCTACAGAATTCGTAACCATGCAACAAGAATGGAAGCCCTCACCCTTTTGACGGTAGTATCTTCTTCCGAGTTTACTGAATTCACTAGACTGTGAGCACCTAGGAGGAAAGGTAAGTTGCAGGACTACCAGAAATTACATCAGAGCAGGACCATCCAATGCAAATAAATGTGTCTATTGGCCCTCATTTAAGATTTAGGGATTAAGATAAGCTACAGTCAGGTGTATACGCAAGAATGTTCTAGGGGGGAACCCAGCACGATGACTCAGTGTCTAAGTCCTCACCTGGCACGTGCCAGGATGCCATGTGGGCACCGATTTGTGTCCTAGGTGCTCCATTTCCCATTCAGATCACTGCTTGTGGCCTGGGAAAGTAGTCAAGGATGGCCCAAAGCTTTGGGACCCTGCACCCACATGGAAAATCCCAAGAAAGCTTCTGGCTGTTGGCTCCTGGCTCCTGACTCCTGGCTTTGGATCAGCTCAGCTCCAGTTGTTGTGGCATTTGGGGAACGAACCAGCAGACAGAAGATCTTTCTGTCTGTATCTCCTTCTCTCTGTAAATCTGCCTCTCCAACGAAAATATCTTTTTTCCATTTATTATTATTATTGTTATCATTTTATGATACAGTTCCATAGGCCCTGGGATTTCCCTTACCTCCTCCCCAATTCTCCTCTGCACTGAGTTCCCCTATATTATCACAATGCTATCGTTCTTCATAAACAGTCATAAGTCCATCCTTGCAGGCATGGACCAGGCAGAAAGTCCCACATCCCATTGCCAAAATATATTCAACAGTTTCATTGGGACTCCATCTTTGATTTAGAAGTAGAGATGCATACTGCATTGTATCCTCACATCTGAATATGATAGTCTCAATCACATAGTTACTATACATCCCCTTAAGTGAAAAGCCACAAAGCAAAATCAATAACAGGAAGAAAAATAGAAATTTACAACACCATGCTACTGGATACGATAGTCTCCCTATAGAGCTATGTATCTAAAAATATAATGTTTCAGGGACCCACAAGCATAAAGGTCTCATCTTAGGGCAGTGAGGGCTTTCATATATCATAGCTAATTCTGATGGAAATTAGCCCAACATTTCTTGTAGATCACAGAATTGGGTATGTAATATACTGAACTTTGCTTGTTTCATTAGAAGTTTCAGAAGTTTTACAATTTAAAAAAGATTGTTCTTGTAATTCTGGTTCTCAGCCATCTTTTTTTTTTCTCTTTTTTTCTGCTTTATACTCTTAGCACTGCGCCTGGCATCTTCGCTGGGGTCAGCCTGAGCTCTCTTCGATGTGCTTGTGAGAGATGTTCACAGCTTAAGTTTATAGATGTGGAAGCAGAACTTCCATTGTTAAGTATAAATTCATAGAAATATCATTTTAGAGTATTGCAGAGTGAGCTCAACAATTTCCTAACCTGGAAGTAACAGAATGAATTCTAGGATATATAAAATTTGCTTATACATAGAAAGTGTAGCATTAATAGTATAAGAAATAAAATAGCATATTGTGGAAAGCTGCAAATCTCCATAGGTTCTGCCAGTGGCATGAATTTGCTGCTTAACTTTCCTAGCTCTTTTGTGTGTCTTGGTGTGTAAAACAAAAATGTGTTTTTAGAATGAGTTTTTACCAAGGAATTTCTATGTTTATGTAGCTATCATTACAATTTGAATGGTAGAAAATATACCTTGAGTATCTAGCTAAGTTTGAATTCATAGTATTTAGGAGTGTACAGCTTAATAAAAAATCTTAGGTGTTGTCTTTTACAGACTGGTTCCCAAAGCTGGTTTTTCAATAGAATCACCTGGAAAGCAAATAGCAAAACACAAATGTAATAGATCCCCAGCCTATGCTTCCAGGGTTTTGGCAGCGGGTACTGAAATTAGTCCTTTGTAAAGATGATGAAACTAACATACAAACAAAACCAAAGACATCAGTCAGGCCCCGTAGCAGCAAATGACGAAGCCAGGATTTGAACCGTTGATCTGGTCTCAGCCTCCATTCTGTAAGCAGAAGTACATGTCTAACTCACACTTCCTACACAACCTGCTGTTCGAACTCAACTTTCTTTTTTCTAAGTATTGAACAGTCTGTTTCTGATACAATATGCTTTGCAAGTTTATTTTCCCCAATGTTGACTGCAGTTTCTTGGTACAATCGCAAAGGTTACATGCGTATTTGGCTTCCTTTTTGGTTGCATTTCGTTTTTGTCACACTCCCCAGCTCAGTTCCTGACACATGCTCTGTTTCTGTGGCTCCTTTGTCCTCGTTTGTCAACCTCCTCTTGATTTTAGTTGAGAGTGAGTAAGAGCGGAGCAGGGGTTGACTGTCATCTCACTGTGCGTGAAAGTGTAAGAATGTGCTTGGTGCTAAATCAATCCTTATTAAAAGGAAAGGCATAACTTGAGAACTTCTCAGTGTGGAGCCACTGTCATTGACACCCAAGCTGGTGGACACATCTAATCGGAAAATGAGGGAACTTCAAAATGAAATAATAATAATAATAAATAATAAAATGAATAAAACAATAATAAATAATAATAAAATGAAATAAAATGGGAGGGTGTTTATTTTACACAAAAATTAGTCTATGAAGAGTTTTTTCATAATACATATTTTCTGTGGCCTTTGGAAGACTCCTAAAAGCTATGAATGGTTGGTTTCAGTTTTGGTTTTTATAGATCAAAACCATCCCTCAAGACAAATTATTTCATAAGATTTTTGTTTGAAAATCAAAACTACTTCATATTTGTGTTGTTTTGGAGTAATACCGTTTAAACAGTTCTCTGACTAGAAACAGTGTATTTCAAATTTATAAATTACTGTCTGTAACTCCAGTTTGTAATGCAGGGACTCATTTCGGGAAGTTAGAACACAATAATAGTGTTCATTAAGCATTTCTTTAGTTTCCTGTAACATCTAGTATTGAAAATATGTTTTAAATGAAAGGCTAAGATTTCTGAAGTTTGATAAATGTCCAAATTGGATACAGTCCATTAGGCAAAAATTCTGACTTAAGTAACACAGGTTAGGGAGAAATACTTCACTTTTTGTCCTACATAAGGAGTGTTCTTATTGATACCCTATTGATAGAATTGAAATTGGTGATTTAAAAATTTTTTGGGGCCTGGCATGATAGCCTAGTGGCTAAAGTTCTTGCCAAGCACACACCGGGGTCCCATATGTGTGCCATATCCTGGCAGTCATGCTTCCCATTTAGCTTCTTGCCTATGGCCTGGGAAAGCAGTTGAGGACGGCCCAAAACTTTAGGACCCTGCACTTGTGTGGAAGACTGGTAAAAATCTCCGGGCTCCTGGCCTCAGCTTGGCTCAGCTTTGGCTGTTGCAGTCATTGGGGAGTGAATCATCGGACAAAAGATCTTCCTCTCTGTCTCTCCTCCTCTCTGTATATATGACTTTCCAATAAAAAATAAATGTTTAAAAAATTCTGCCATAAAAATCTGAATATTTCACACCAAGTAATATTATAATTAAGACATAAGCAATCAAACACAGCAAAGATCACTCTATGTAAAACTAAATGCTCCTCCATGGGGACAGGAGGAGGCTTGTATCCCAACCCTGAAGACCCCCAGATCCTCACCAAAGACTATCAGAATGAGTACCAAGGACTACATCCCAAGTGCCAAGGAGATCACGGGGAATTGGAGTGCCCTCGGAGGCCAAGAACTCTGAGGTCATGCACGCCCGCTTGGATTTACCACATGGGATGGAAGAAGCCCAAATCCTCCCTCGCAGGATCCAAGGGCATCAGAACAACAGCCGGGAGCTCTGAGCAGTCCGCAGAAACAGAAGAACAGTAAACTTCCTTCGGGACTAAGGAGGGGAGCTCTCTCTGGTCCTCACTTGGTTCTAACTTGGGGTCCCCACCCTCTCTTGCAATGACCATCAGGATCGCTCCGGATACTCCTCAAAACAAACAAATAACCAAACAAACAAACAAACAAAAAATCTAGAATAGACAGAGAACAATAAGGAAAGCTTAGAATCAGACAGGAAATGGTCAGCGTGGATTCACTTATACCTTTCTAGGTGGGACACAAAGATTAGTTGCTCCTCACTGGGGTATTGAGGATTTCTCTGCACACCCCTCCTAAAACTGTTCACCTAAACTGTTGACATATGCCTTGCTAGAGTTATAAGCCAGTCTAGACTACCCGGAAAAAAGCCAAGTTCAGCAAAATTATGCTTCAAAACTATAAAATGCTAAATATTATAATGAAAATAGACATGAGACAGCTGAACGTAATCTATAGATTATAATTATAGATTATAATTTTAAGATGTATAGAACCCAGTTGTGTATAAACTAGAAATGGCAATAAAGTAGTCATAGGATGTGATTAAGAACTTACATTTTTTTGTTTTTAACATTGGTTACTCAATACTATGTCAATTAATTCCATAACCTTATAAATTGTTGCTGAAGTTATTTTGGGGCTTTTAATTGATCGGGATGATACTCTGCCGGCTCTACCTTCAGACCAGAGATGGTCTCCCCAACAAGCCGTTGAACTTATCTGGACAATAAGATGTCAGACTCTATGCGTGGTATATGCTTGCAATGAGAGAATCTCAACTGAACTTGAACTGTGGTAATGCAACAAGGTGGAGGAATCTACCATGGGGGGAGGGTAGGGGGAGGGTCGGAAACCCAGTACCCATAAAACTGTGTCACATAATGCAATGTAATTTAAAAAATAATAATAAAATAATACATCAAGAGAAAAATAACTAAATGCTCTTCGTGGGAATTGTAATAGATAATTGTTGAAAACAAATTTTTAACATGTTTATGAGGTGAACTAAAAGTTCCTCAGTATTTCAATTTCAACAATCTCATATAATGTTAAAGTTATTTTGCTAACACTCATCTTTATT